TAAATAATTGTCCAATTTGAAGAGAATCAAAATGATAATAAAGCATATCTTTGAATGAGAGAGAAGAAACAGTATTTTCTTTTTCTTCCCTTGGAGTTTAAATCTAAATAACAATGCCTTGAATACCGTTGGAAAAGGTAAATACTTGGAATAGTAGAAAGGTGAAGACTTGGAAAGGGTAAACTTATTTTTATATGTGTATAAATGCTAAAATAATGAAACTATCCAAGCCTACTTGACACTCCTCTCAGTACTTTAAATATGATCAAAATAATGCTCAAATAAAACTGACACTGGGGGAAAAAAGTGTGAAGTGTAGAGCCTGCAATCCGCAAATGAGAAAACTCCAAACCTCACCATCTCCTGCCTGATCTCATTGTTTTTCACACTTATTTATTTTTCCCTTATACAAATATACCAGTGAAAGGATTTGCATAGGTTATTTGAAAACAGAACTTGGTGACGACTCTTAGTGCTCCCAGGATCTGCTTGGATAAGAATGACAGGGTGTGAAGTTATATCCTGGTGCTTCTTTAGCTGTGCTTCCAGCTCCAACTTGGTACTTCAGTTGGCTTCCAGCTGTTTTTCACCCAAAGTAAAATGTTTCCTGGCCATGTGCTGCCTCTATTTCTGTCAAGTGGGGTTAGGAACTGGTGTTGAAAAGATGATATAGTGCTCTTTACCTCCTGGAAATTCCTTTCTGCAATGAGCCATCCTAAAAGGCCAGCTGTGCCCAGCCACACAGCTGTTTCACACAGAAATAATAGCTTCAAGCTCTTTTGTCAAGTCCAAGAATCAGATCCTGTAAATTCATAAAAGATGAATGCTACAGTAAACTCGAGGATCTTTTTTGTATGAAAAAATTATAAATTATGTAATAAAAATGAAGTGCTTTGTACGTGACAATAAGCTTTACAGGTAGCTAATGTCACATTTAGTACTATTCTTTTATGTTTGTGTTCCAATCAGCCAGCACAGTACCCAACCTAACCTCCAGCAGGAAATTATATATTCCATTATTCTTTATAGTACAATAAAGCCCTTTATTTATGGCAAGCATTAGTTTTGTAGGCACAGTGACAGAATTCATATCTTAGGAGTGTATCAAGGTTTTCCTTCCCTCCTTGTAATGGTTATCCTTAAAACTGTCCTTTTCTTCTGTTGCCAGACCTGCACATGTGGTTTATCTGTCAGCATTAGAAAGAAGGCTCTCGGACACAGAGATTCTGTTCTCTCTCTGGTCAGATGTAACAGAAGAGGCACAAAGTTCATAAGAAATGTGCTTTTTTTTTCTTTTTTTTTCTTCTCACTTTTTTCTAGTTCCAGTTCCAACCTGCTGATTCATAATTGGGGTTGACACTGGAGCATTGTAAACATACCCAATTATTGTATGGTGTTATGGATCCATCTATGAGAGGTGCATTTTCTCTAGTGCAGTTTTCCTTCTGAAATGTTTCATCCTCTTCAAGAAACTAATGTTCTCTAAGAGAAATGTTCAAACACTGCCTCTGAAAGTCCTCATGCTAAGCAGGCACAAATCAGAGGAGAAATTAGAAAATTAAAATATGATTATGAGATTTCAAAGGTCAAGTGTAGGCTACAACCTGAGAAAAGTGATTGTAAGACTGAAGGCAGAGGTAGCTGTAGGTTGTGTACCTACAACAAAACAGTCTGTCCTTTGTTCTAGACAGAGGTGAGAATTTGGATTGCTATACTTTGCCTACAAAGTGTGAAATGAATGGGCACAAGGAATTATTTCATTAGTCATGGTCTGGGATAACTCTCTAATGTTAGAATTCAAAATTTTAAATAAAAAATCACTGTTAAGACCACAAGGGATGGGAAACAATTGTATTTTAACACACAAAACTGTTTATAGAACTCTTTATTTTGATCAAATTCTATGTGAACTGTATCAAACTCCTTTTAGTGTTGAAAAAAATGAAGGATTAGCAGTCCTAGATTATGAGAAGTGGAAAGAAATTCCTAACTGTACCTGTGAATATTTCTGTTTCAGCTGCTGTGGAACAAAGCTCAGTTTTTCTTTAACGTTGCATGGACTTGTGATGGACTTCTAAATGGAGGAAAAAAAAAATGAGGGCACTCACTTCCTTGTGTAATGGCAGATAAAATAAGACTGAGCCTAATTTATTATGTCTTATAAACAGATGTTCCTGCATATGGGCATGTGTTTGTGTATTTGTGTACCGATACATTTTAAGAAAAGATTGCCCTCTTGGTAATTGTCGTGAATAATTATTTGTAAAAAGATTCCATTATGTAGACACCTAAAGTTGTTAGTCACCTCTTCAAACAATTCTCTTCAGTTCCCACTTCCACCTTTGAATTCCCACCAAGCCTTCTTCTTTTTCCTGGTGTCGAGTAGGAGCAGGCATGTCAGCATTGAGGAAGTTATCATCACACAGTTCTTTCTAATTGCCAACACTGAATAAATTCACATTCACTTATATCTGTGAAAAACTCACAGACTGTGCTTGCACAGTTGAGCTTGGACAATCTCATCCATCTCAGATTTTGCTTTCTCACCAAGCTGGAAAAACTCAGAATCCTTTCCATCCCTCAAACTGGAAAATAGGCTGTTTTCCTTGGGGAAAAGTTTATAAGGGAACATAAAATGCCCTTCGAAGTCCAGATAGTCTTACCAAGTGCATGAGGTATTTTGCACTTGTCTACAAGAATATTTCTAACTTGTAGTTCATCAGGTCAGCTGAAAACGTGAGGCAAAACCCCCCCAGAGCAATATCAGCACAGTTAATCTTTTGCAAACAGCTTTCCTTTGGAGGCTTGCACAGAAAGACAAGTCATTACTAAACCATGAGAAAGGGAATTTTCTTACTGCTTGTCAAGCACTGGAGTAATTTTGAAGGACTAAACATCATTGAAAGAAAAATCTCTGTTTTTTGTGTCACACGTATCCATAAAGTTTGCATAGGTATAGTAATGGATGCTGTCTAATGAATTTAAATTCACAACATTCAAACTTACTTTGACAACTTTAGTGAAATGCTTTAACTTGTAAATGATGGTTGTTTGTCACTGTCACTATTTCAGCCCACCTGCAATATTTAGTAGTTATACACGTGTTGAAGTCCTCTGTTGCTTTCCAGAAATGCCTGCATAACAATAAACACTTCCTTTTCCCCATGACTGGGGATTGGGATTTTGGATGGTGAGCAGGTTTTTGACAGTGGGACAAAGCTGCTATATACTTGCCTGAGTTGAGCAGCAGAAGATCAACACAGCCCTGGTGAGTTCACCTTTCCTGATGGCGTGGCTGGATGGCTGACTGATCACGTCAACTAAACCAAAATTAAAAAGTCAGTAGGGAGTCTGCTGTGCTTGGCACAACCCAAGCTTAGTTTCTACTATTTTGGATGTCTCTCTGCAATTCAGCTGATTTTTGAAGCAGAATTAATCACATTAGCAAGCATTCACGTGTTTGGATAGATGTGTGAGTCTACTCAAGGCAGCTTGTTTTTGTTTTGGATCTGATGTTTGCTAGTTGACCCTAATATACTGCACTTGTGCATGAGCTAAACTGGTGTATCCTCACAAGATGTTACTTTAACAGTGTTCCATATGACATTTATAGGGGGACAAAAAGGACTTCACATGACTATTCTGTGGCCATGAAAAGCACCATGTTTGGGGTGATCTGAGAGCCCACTCAGGTGTGGCAGCAGGGAGTGAAACTGGCTGCAGCTGGGCTGGGCTCCTCTCTTGAGCAGTGTCACAATCTGGTTACTGCAGGGTTAAAAAAACCCCAAACTATCCACCAGCTGTTACAACGAAGTTTGTAGAGATTGTTAATTACAGTGGCATTTTCTGAAGAGTAAATGTGCTTCAACTTCCACCATTGGGCTTCACCCATGGGCTGAAATTTAATGACAAAAGTGTGAAATGAGAGGCTTCAATACTTTCTTATTCACAACAAGTCAGACATTTTTCCCATAAAATTTAGAGTTTCTAAGGACGTGGTACAGCTGGGATCAAGTCACTGCTAATTTTGAGAGCAGCCTGGTTCAATATAAGCTTTGACTATTTTTTTGTTCTAAATTTCACTACAAAATAAAACTTCAGACATTTATAACAGACAAATGCTGAGAGCCATGAAGACAGAATATAGTTTGAACAAGCAGATTTCAGCATGAACGTATGAAATTTATTCCTTCATGTTAATGCCCAAAAATGTGATTAAGGAAATATATTTTTTCAAATCATCCTGAAGTTGGGGCACAGAGCTCAAAGGAACATGTTTTGAAGGGGCTTGTTTGCATGATTTCTTTTCTTTCAACCACTTTTTTTTTTGTTTGTGTGTTTTTTTTTTTGTTTTTAAAAACTAAAATATTGTAATTATGCTGGGACTTGGTGTATTCTTTTATGAGCTTATGGATAAATGGTAAACCTCTGGTTAGGCAGGTTATTTCCAGGATAGGGAAAAAAGGGTAAGTCAAAAGGAAGGCTGTGTATGTTCTGGATATTGTATTTTTTCTTGGGAATGGGAGCTATGTGAGGTTATAGAAGGTGAGAAGTTTACGTGTGAGTGATTTATCCCCTGCTCATTTATCTGCTCCTGGATTTCTGCATTTGATCTGTGATGCTGTTGGGGTGGGACTTCGTTGTTTGTCCAGTGTTAAACCCCACAGCCTTGAGCCTCTAGGGAGGTTTGCAGAGGCACCCAAACACATGAACTGGCTCTTCCTGAGAGTCCTTGTCAGACTTCAGGGGAAGGTAATTGATGGAGCTTCCCTGTTGGCACTCACTATGAAAGGGAGCTATGGAAAATGGCTGTGTGGAATGCTCTTCTTCAGAGAGCACTGCAGGAAAAAATTAAAAAAGAAGTAATTTCCACCTAATTAGTGCTTCTTATTTAACTGGATGAGACTGGTGCAGTGACTTTTTTCTTTTCTCTTTTCTCTCTCTCTCTCTTGCTTTTTATTTTTTTTTTTTCCTTTAATTTTCCCTTCCTCCTGTTACAGATATACGTGGACTGCAGGGATTTCTCGATCAGGCCTCCAGGCTGGGACTTGATGTATCCTTACAAAAAGTGGACAGGAATATCAGCAGAGTATTTTCCAACCTTTTTACCACCATGAAAACGGAAGAGCTGAACCGCTATCGGGACACGTTGCGAAGGGCCATCTTACTCCTGAGCCCACGGGGAGCCCAGACTTTTATTAATGAGGTCAGTGTTGAGGTTTTTTTTTTAATCATCAACATTTCAGAAACACGTGGTATGACCCGTGTTTTGCCCTTTTGACAGTGCTGGTTCTTTAATGTCAAGTAAGATTGTCAGACTTCTGGGGAATTGAAATATCATATGCTCCAGGGAATGCTTGTTTTGTGGTTAGTGCAAGTGGGGCAACATGGGCCAGATATTATATTATATAATATAATATCCAGCTCTATGGGGGGTAATTATTTTTGTCTGGTTGTCTTCTGTATCAGTACTTCTGTTGTGGATTTCAACCACTGTTAACAAGTGACCAGAAAATCTGCGATAATCTATTATAAATGAAACATAATGTGCACGACAGATCTGTCTTTGCTATGGAAATCTCCAAATTTGTATTAAAGGGGCATATTATTGATGTTTGAAAGTTAAATCAAAGAGATCTTTATGAAATATGAAGTTGAAATTATATGTTTGTCTTCCTTTCTTAGTGGTTTCTTGAAATCAGGGATGCTAATTAGGACAGGGAGGTAGCTGTTGGGCAAACTTTTAATTAACGTGCTGTGGGCTAAGTTTTGGCATTAATTAGTTTTATCCAGCTTTCCTAATATTAAATAATGAATTATTTTAGAGTGCTTTGTATGCCAGAGTTGAGAATGAGAATTTGAGCCTCAATTCCAGTTTGTGTATTCATTAGCTAAGATTTTGGCAATAAAGTAGGGGTTTGAATTTTTTTTTAACTAACCAGGGATATAACTGAACCAAGAAATTAAAATGCAGAGGGGACCTCTTTCTATTATCAGTTTTGGTGCATCAAAACCTGTTAAATTAAAAAAAAAAGATCAACTCGAATTAGCTCATTAGAGTTTTGGGTTTTTTTTACCATAAGAGCCTTTAGTAAATTATCCACATTGATTAAAAAATCAATGATTTTTTAAATAACAAGGTAAATTTTATCCTAAGTAAATGATGCAGATAGGTAGTTTGGAAAAGACTAAGCACATTCTCCTCAGGTTTGTGCACACACAGGTATTTCCAGTAGAAGAGTGCAGGTGTTAGTGCCCTCAAAGTGTGTGCAGCTCTGCACAGCTCAGTCAGTTGTTTTCATAGGAGAAATTTCATCCAGCAGAAATGCACATTGCTTGGCTCTCCACGGAGTCCTAACAAAGTATCCAAACCAGAGTAAAAGGAAATGTTTTGTTCAGACCCCAGCTGGATGGAAGTTGTGTCCCCCTGGGGATGCAGGGCTCTGGGATTGTTTGGTGAGTCAGGTGAGTGCCCTGTCAGAGCCCGAGGTGTCTCCAGAGTAGGGGCCAGCACTGAACTGTATTAAACTCTTTGACTACTCACTTCACCTTAAAGCACTGTGTATTATAGGCATTAAGACTAATGACCCTGATATATTTCCAGCTCCCTGCAGGAGTTTAACAGTGGGCAGAAATGAAAAGTAATTTATTTGGCAATCTTTCTATATTGAATCTTGATAGATTCAGAAAGGCTTTATAAGAGGAAATTTAAATCTTAGAAAGGAATTCTCAAAAGGCTTGAGATAGGAGGTGCAGAGTGTAGGGGAGAATCTAAGTAACAACACTAGGAGAAAATGTAAGATTTTATTTTTAGATTTTGCACATACTTACTTTTTTTTTTTTTTAGCTCCAGTTAGAAAAAATAATTGAAGAACAAAGAGGTATTAAAGCCCTGCTTCCGGAAATCAGAAATTTCAAGTGAAAAAGAGATTTCTTATTAAGATTTTCAGTTTTGTTGAGTTTATATTTTGTAATAGGGAAAAAATGTCTGACAAGCTTCAACCAGATTTTTGTTAAAATGTATTGGCTAATACCATATCTTCATGAAAACCAGGTGCTGACTGCTAGCCCTCTGGTGAAATACAGAACAAAAATAAGAACAGTGTTCGGATTATGAAACCTGAAATAAACAGATTTAACAGATTTTTCCTAGCACAAGTCATAGATATCAGCCATTAGAAGCTGGTACAAGATCTATTCTGCCTGGTTTGAAACTGCAAGTGATACTTTTTTTTGCTAAAAATACAGATCCAGGGTTCAGTCTCATCATCTCTTGGGTGGGCCAGAGAGATCTCATGTGATTTTGGATGTACAAAATAAGGGGACTCTGCCATCTCATGTGTAAAAAAACTTCTGAATCGTGGAAGAATTCAATTTCTCTAATTTTTATTTAGGCATGGTTTTCATTTAACCGTCTTAACATCTCAGTGCCTGGTTCTGTCATGTGTCAAAGTTACTGCAGTAGAAATTATTGACCTTTTGTAAATTTTCAAGATTTAGTATTTTGCTATGAAACTGCTTTGACTGTAAGAATGGGGAGGAGAAGGAAAAAAACCTTTTCAATGGTATTGCTATAATCCTGGAGTCAGCCTTTATTCAGAGCAGGGAGGGTAAATGCATTTATAAAATGTTAACTATCTTAGAGTATGCATTAAAAGGGCATTTAGGGACTGAAGTAAACCTAATCTAAAGAGTGTCCCTCCTTAAACAGTTGAGAAAAATGTTCCTTTCTCCATCTGCAAAAATCCCAGATATATTTGTCTCAATTGTAATAGGTGTATGTGTGCCAGGAAAACAATTTTATATTTTGAAAAGCATGTGATCCTCTTGTAAGGTGATAAGAAAAAACTAATAAGTCAGAAATGGGAAGATTTAGCACTTTCACCTTTTCTGTTAGTTACTTTGGCCCAGGCACAGGAATCTGAGACTCAAAAGGCTCCCTCCTTGAGAGAGTGAGGATTCACTTGCCTCTTTCACTTAGTAGTGGGTATGTTTTTCCAATTGCAAGTAGAGGTATTATTTGTATGGACTGCTTTTATCATTAAAGGCTGTACATTGAAATAAATGGAAAAAAGTTCAAGGAGGTGACAAAAATTATGAAAGGATGGGAGAGTATGACCTCTGAGGAGAGGCCTCAGGAGCACGCTATGTACAGCCTGCCCGCGGGAATAGAGAGGCCAGGTACTTGAGAGGAAACATGAGTGGAGGAGGAGGAGGAGGAATTATTTAAGGTGATCATGGGTTGTGTCATAGGAAGTAATGACCCAAAGTTAAACAGGGAATGCATTCTAACAGGGAGGTCAGTTGGACAGTGGGGGTGCTGGGCTGGAGAGTTCTGGGAGGCATCGTTCTGCACGGCCTTCAAGAGTTCAGTAGAAAAAACACTCTGGTAAATCAGGCTGGCAGTTTGTCCTGAACTGATGTGCAGGGTGTTCTAAGTGACTCAGCAGCCCTTCTGAAGACCTGCCAGGAAACACTGGTTGTGTGAATAAGTTTGGACTTTGTACTTTTTATATACCACCTATCTGAAGAGGAGGAAAAGGTCTTGTAATTCAGCGCTTCTCAAGTTTCCTGTGTCACATGTGCAGTTCCTGACCTCTGTGGAGGGTTTGGTTTCTTAATTCTTCACAGAACACATGGTTTGTTTGGGATATGTATTTTAATAGGATTTGTCTTTATAAATACAGGTGGTGTCAATTGCTTCATAGACTTTACTCTTCCTTTGCAGTATTTATGTACAACCTTTGCTTTTGAGCACCAGTGAAAGGGAGGCTGTAACCCAGTTGCATGTAGTTGACTTGAAAAAAGAAGGCATTATCAGCTTTATGAAACCTTTAACTTAGCATTACTTGTATTTTTGGCAGCTTCACTGAAGTGAAAACTCTTTTTGTTGAGGTGGATGTCTGAAAGTGCTGTAGTTCTTTGTGAGCCTGCCTTGACTTTAAGCTGGTGAGCTGACTGCAGGAAGGTTATATGCATATCCCTGCAGCAGAGCAGCCTAAAGCAGAACTCTTTGCATGCCTAGGGTAGTAAGCGAGTTTAAAAACAGAAGCCTATAATAAAAGAGAGCAGATTAATTCCTTTAAAAATTAATACACAACTGCTGTATCAATGCAGCAGGGTTACGTGAATCGCAGCAATTCCAATTTGAGCTGAAGTTAAAAATTTCCAGTATAACACGGTGTTAAACAGCTGTAATTTATCTCTGCCCTGTTTATATAATTACCTCAGTGTCCTCATTTGAGAGCAAAGACTTCTCTGTTTCACTTTCACCCTAGTTACTGCTAAGTGTTCTGACTGATTCTTTAAAATAAATATTGATATCCTGCTTTTGGTTTGGGTTTTGGGGCTCATTTCACAGTGATTTGTGGCCTTCCTTCCGTCCTGGTCGCTGAAGATGCTGAGCTCCTTCCTCCCAGAGCACTTGTTAGAGAACACTGCTCCAGCCTTCTCTTTTCCCTTCTGCAGCTGGTGACATGCTATTACTTGACTGGAGCTGAATTAATTATTTATGGAATCTTGAACAATTTGCACCCACAAGCAATTGTATGAAATGGTTTTCCAGTGACATTCACTTAGAATTTAACAGGAAAAAGTTCAATATTAATTTTCTGGCACTTAGCACTTCCTCTCTCTCTCTCTTTTATTTATTTATTTTTTCTTCTTTTTTAATGTTGCAAACATTCAACATATTAGTTCATATATCTGTTTTATATGCACTATATAAACATCTCGGAATATTGTTGAATAATTTTGGGAAAAAATATTATGCCTCTTCTGTTTTTAGAAGGCATTTTCTCTGTTTAAAGAGCTGCTAGTGATTTGTGAATGCTGGTAACAGAACTGTAGAAATAATACATTCTTCTTTCAATAGTTCAAGTTAAATTATGCCCACCTTATTTCTTCTAAATCTTCCTCTGGTATTCTATTTCTTCCTTAGAGCTAAAATCTTGTCTGCTATTGTTGACATTTTCAATATGCTAAGACTCTTTGTGCTTAAAGAGAATAATAATTATAATTAAAGCCCAAGCAAACCTCATTGAATTGCTAAAACCTAAGTGAAAACAAAGCCCTCCCATTCTGGGATAAATTGTCTTTGAAGCAAGTTTCTTTCCACTGGGCCAAAAAACCTCCCAAAACACAAACCCTCCTACATTTTGCTTCCCTATGACTAATCCAAGGGATGGGGTTATTCTCACAGGGATC